GATAGAACAGAACTGAATCTTGACGTATGTAAGCATAATTATATAAATGATCAGCTTACAGCCCATTAAAATAAATATCAAATAAAATTTTCTGCTTAATTTGGTGAAAAGATCACCACTCACAGGAATATGATTAATGAAACAGCATACCATGAATCGAATGGAGGAATTTCTGCATAGTTATTTACGAGTTAAGTATGCTTCGATATTCTGATCCTGTATCAGTACGTAATGAGAGGCATTCAGTGAAAGACTGGCATCATCTAAGATCTTACAAGCGAGCCGCAGCGCATCTTAGATCACAAAAGACTCAGCACCCGATGCATGTCTAAAATGGGCTTCAGTCATGACTTGAAAGATGATTGGACCTACGTAAGTATAGACAGGATGTCTGAACAGAAAAGTTTTTGTAATACACTTGTTGGTACATTGGCGTTTATCCGAGACGCACATAATAGGATGCCTTTCTGATCTACTTGAACAAAACAGCTATAGAGGCAGACCATTTTAGGTCTGAAAATTGCACAATGCTCAGGTGTTTGACCTCACTCCCTATCAGCAGAGTTTCATCACTGAGAAATGATTAACGCCATTTCTCGAGTACTCCGCATCGAGACAAGGCAGTCGACTAAATTAAAATGGTTTAAGACAAGATCAAGATCGGACTCCATTTGCTCAACGCAATCTGTAAAGCTTCATTGACGTTATACTCCTGCAAATTCGACGGGACAGCAGATGTTATACACTAACTTTAAGTAGTCGGTAAGTACTTCTGATGGTGCAAGATGATATCCTGATTACAACCTACAGTTGACAGACGAATGAAGATTTTAAGGAATTCGATGATGCAATGATCCTGATGACTACGTTTACCTTCTGGCAAACACTTTGCATGTCTCAGTCAAGGTTACTGGAATGACGATTAATTGATTAAATCTTGGTCTAATGTAATGAAGTGAGCACCCTAAACAGACTTCGAACTGCATAAAAGGTCTCAGATTTAAAAAAAATCAACGTGCAATTCGAGGTAATGTCCAATTTAAATAATCGAATTTAATCTAAGAAATCGGAAAGTCGGCAGAAGTACAAAATGGAAGAAACGCTAAAAGAAGATACAAAAGAAAAAATGAGAAAGAATATAAGAACACGATGAAGAGAGGAACAGTTATCAGAGATGGAGATCCGCAGACAAGGATATCCTTTGTGTCACGGCAGGCACATTTCGTTTTTGGTCAGAAGAATGAGATTCCAAATGTTCCATCTGGCTGCTTACATCGGGCCACACAGCGACGTTTATCGAAAACCAATACAGATAGATGAAGGGATAAACACAGCATCTTCCTTTGCCTTTAATATGTATAGAGTAATAGAGTAGCATTAAAATCGTATAAAAGACAGAGGACAAAGGAATTCACGGATCGAATAGATTTCCAACACTCCTCTTTTCAAGCAAAACACTCAAAATATTCAAACAGACAAAGAAGATTTATTTACGAATGAAGAAGTTGAAAGTTTGAAGTTTAAAGCCTGCATTCAGTCAGCTCAGCGAATAAGCTGTTAAATTCATATTTATTCTTCTGATATTACACACATCCAAAGAACGACACAGATAAAACTAGTCATAATGTGATGCACACCAACACTATCTCTGACAGTATGCTAGTAGAAGTGAATAATGAGTGCCTCGACTTTGGCCATAGGTCAAGGCTTAAACCGTGCACACTCATCCTTGACCTCTGATCAATTTATGTTCGTTCAAGAGCGGCTGAAGGAAACCAGCGTCAAATGCACGTGCCGGGCTGTAAGAATCCATTGAAAATGATGATAGCCGTAACTAAACCAACGCGAAAAATACTGTTGCCTTACTTAGAACAGAAGCATAATTAGCAATGTTACAGTAATGAAATACACTCCAGTTTCCATAAAACAATGCTGCAGAACGCAAGGGGTAGCAAATGCTTCTGACCCTTGATAGAGAAAGCAGAAGGTTTAACCGAATATTAAATCTGTTCTTAAAATTAAAACATATTTCAATAAATTTTTTCTTTATCCCCCATCATACCTCGCCTAAGCACTTCTGTCGATTAATCACTATTTAAAGGTGGTTGACAGACTGAGAGAACATTCAGCATTTATGACACCGTTTCGCGACAGGTCAGTTATCCCCGCTGACCTACTGTTCTGCGTTGCCGTGCATCTTCGACCACGCCTCATAATTCATCAAGCTGCTGGTTCGCTTAAGAAACTCTGTTGTCGAGGAGAACTTTTTCTATCGCAATGCTTAGAACAATGTCTAACATCACTGAAGCTAGATGCGCGCTTTTCACAGATGTCGTATGAAAGCTCTACGAGAAAAAGATATCCGACTATCAGCCCCTAGTAAGGTGTGTGAAAAATGACATCTGAACTATTCTATCCGTGCCATTTATGGTCCTAACGCTGAAAGAACAGAGTGACTGTAGTATCCCGTAAAGAAACTCAGGCAGGGTAAAGCTAAAAATGACACTAAAATGCCAATTAATTAACAAAACTTAACTGTTCTAATTTTCTAAGAAAAAAAACAGTTGCCTTGTAATCTAACGTAAAAAGCCATCGTTTATCGCTCATTATTAAACAGTCAGATTATGCTAGCAAAAAACAAATACGAAAATTGTTACTATTAAAGTGTCAGAGAATCCTCAGAAGAACACTACAAATAATTAAAATGAAGCAAAGTCAGGAATTCGTTTGACTTCACGGCTGAAAAAGCCGAACATAATTTCTTCGTATAGAAAGATAACGACATGGATGTGTCAATTCTAACAAGGTGAACATGTTTGATTTCTAAATACTGGCTATCCAGGTGTAGCGAAGGATCATATTTTGCTTTCATTAAATGAAATCTTCCATCGTACATCATCCAAGAGTCTCATTAGCTTCACCGAGAGCAAACAGGCGAAAAGCAATGATCATCTGTGCTCTGTTCACAGATTAATAGAGACAGCGGTCTAAAACCTTCCGTTCATGTTTGTAGTCTCATGAAAATTCTACACTTAGACAGCGATAAGGATCAAGGCGATGTTGCGGAGAGTATTCCATGGCTGTGACCATCACCTCAATCTGTTAAGCATACTGCACCCCGGATGACAATGGCAAGCAGAAGCGCCCATGGCGGGTACACGAAAACATGCAGGAAACTTTTACTCGCCAAGACATTGTGACCTTACCAACCATGATAAGCTACATACACATTTGTGTATGCATAAATATTAGCCGACACACGCACACGTGTAATAACGGAAACTCTTGATAGAGCCTGAACCCAGAAACCTTTCTTGAAACAGGAAATTTGCCATTCTGCTTGCGTTAATGAACCCGAAACTTGTAACAGTTCAGTGCTTCCGGTAGAAAATCCTGATTCCATTATCAGACACCAAACTAAGTAAAGATAATATACTGCATAAGGCGATACCGTGCCGAGGAAGATTTGATGCCTATATGCTTTCTGAGTCCATGGTTAAGAGCACGAAAAAATTTTCTTTTTATGTTGCAAACGTGGAATCAGAAGATCGCAGAACCATAAAATATTGAACTGATTTGTATGTATCTATTTACAGAATGAGAGAACATGAAGAGAGTGGCAAATACATACGCATGAATTCGACACGCCGCTAAGCGAATCTGTCAAAAAAAATAAACACGGTTCGTAGTCCTGATTACGCGCTTTCATGCTTTAAAACGAAGTATCAGCGAGCGAAATTTTGTTCTTTCATTTGAAACAGTGAAATAAGAAGATAAATGGCAAAAACAAAAAGAAACAGCATCAAAAACGGACCTATAAAAGACGATTTACCAACTTTGTAGCAACTTTGGCACTGCTCGCTTTTCAAGTCGCAAGCATCAACAGCAGATGTTTCGCATTCAACATCCACAGCGAATAAA